CGAGGCCATTGAATTCTAGTTAAAAAAATCAGAAGATATGGATGATTTCCAAATTGAATTTTTAATAAAACGAATAGATTTTATATTGAAAAATAACTTTTTCTTGTTTGAAAGGAAGTTTTATCTTCATAATTTAGGTACAACCATGGGGACCAGATTTGCCCCAATTTACGTGAATCTTTTTATGTCCTTCTGGGAAGAAAAGTTTGTTTTCTGCAGGGAGGACATTGGGGCAAATCTGGTCCTTTACAAACGCTACATAGATGATATTTTTATTATATGGAGAGGTAGCAAGGAGTCTTTAGAATAGTTTATTATTTCTCTTAATCAGAATTTGTATAATATTAATTTATCTTATGAAATCAGTATGAAACAAATAAATTTTTTAGATCTTTTAATTTATATAGATTGTAATGTAATTAAGAGTAAAACTTTTTTTAAAACCGTTGATGTTAATAGTTTTGTAGATTTAAAAAGTTGTCATTTTAGGCCTTGGTTGAGTAATATACCCAAGGGTCAGTTTTTTAAGGATGAAGAGAAATTGTACTGAAGAAGGAGTATTTTAAACAAGCGGATATTTTAAAAGGAAAATTTATTGAAAAAGGATATATAAAGGAAGATTTGGAAATAATTGAGAAGGAAATTGCAGAGAAGGAAAGACAATCACTTTTAAAATATAAAACTAAAGACAATCAAAAATATGGGAATGGAAATGAAGATAAAATCCCTCTTATTTTTAGCTCTAATAATTTAGCATTATAAAAAGTGATTAAAAAACATTGGTATGTCCTCAAAGAAGATCCAGATGTACTCCCTTTTTTAGACTGCAAACCTAAATTTATTTTTAGAGGAGCAAACATTTTTAAACAAATTTTAACAAAAAGTTTTTTAGACAAAGAAAAAATGGAAAAGGATGGCAACTTTTTAAAAGGAAGCAAAGGTTTTCACTATTGAGGCACATGTAGAGGATGTTCACTTAGGTCCAATAAAAACAAGAAAATTGTTCAATTTTCGTCCTCTGTTACTAAAAAAAAGAGTATCAGATTAAGTCCTTTATCACTTGCTCCAGCAAAGAGGTAATTTACATGATAACTTGCCAATGTGGGTTTCAATATATTGGCAAGATGACACGCATCTTAAAAACTAGAAAATCATAGTATATCCAAGCATTTTTTAGAGGCCCATAATGGGGACCCAAAAGACATAGAATTTATAGGGATAGACCAGATTAAAGTTAATTGGAGATGAGGGGATAAGGATTATATTTTAGGTCTAGCAGAAATGAAGTGGATGTTCGAACTAGATACTATGACACCATGTGGACTAAATGTTGATTTCCAAAATAATAATTATGTATAAAGATCCTATATTTAACATTTTCTCTTTTCTCTTTCCCTTTGCTTTTTATACATTTTATATTTTTTATTAATTTTATAACACATCACACATGTATTTTGTATTTATGGCTATTTATGTGTATATTTTTAATAGGAGTATTTATTGTCTTTTTTTGAGATTCCTGTTTTTCGCTATATATTGAGTCTCCTTTTAACATATGTACTAAATATCTTTAAGGAAGGTAGTTATTGGTTTTCTCCTTTAATTTTTAATGATTTGTCTTTCTCCCAAAACACTAGATTAGACTCTGTTTATAATCAATCTATACATATAATTATTAATTATTGCAAACGAATTAAAAATTAGTATTGTATAGAGCATACTTACACTCCAAAGCGTTCTTTTACACCAATGCCAACAAATGTGGTGCCCTCCTTGCCCGCATGATCGCCAAAAAGAGAGCAGCGGCCTACATCCCGGGGATCAGAGACAGAGATGGGAAGCTGCACAGTATGCCGACCGAGATGGCCAACACCATTAGGGCGTACTATGCGGACCTCTATTCCCTCGACCCGCCCAGGGGACAGGGAGCGGACACAGAAAGGAAGACGCGGATAACAGACTACCTAGAACCGCGCATTGGCAACTGCCTCTCACAGGAGGCAAGTACAGAGCTAGACGAACCGATCGAGACGCACGAGGTAGCATGGGCTCTCAAAACGGCCAAGATGGGCAAGAGCCCCGGACCGGACGGCCTACCAGCACGCTACTACAAAACCTTTGCGGAACTTCTCGTCCCACGCCTCACGATGGCACTCAATGCGATCCGAGATGGGCAGATATTCCCGACACAGACCCTGGCGGCCAACATCATCCTAATTCCTAAAGACGGGAAAGATCCTGAACATTGTGCGAACTATCGCCCCATCTCACTGTTAAATAACGACTTGAAGCTTTTTACGAAGATACTCGCACAGAGACTGCAGGCCCACCTCCCGAACTTGATTCATAAGGACCAGGTGGGATTTACCCCGCACCAAGAAGCGCGCGATAACACGATCAGAGCACTTTCCCTGATCCACCTAGCAAAAACTAGACAGGAGGGCCTTCTCCTGCTCTCCACGGACGCGGAGAAGGCCTTCGACAGGATTGCATGGGACTTCATGTTCCAGGTCCTCGACAAACTGGGGATGGGGCCCCACATGATGTCCTGGATCAGGGCCTTGTACTCACAACCAACAGCACGGATCTGCATAAATGGAGCCTTCACGGACCCCTTCGTGATCGGGAATGGAACCAGACAGGGCTGCCCCCTCTCCCCCCTGCTCTTTGTGCTTGCCCTGGAACCATTCCTGAACTCGATCCGGAACAACCCGGATATCCCGGGATTGAAGACTGGAGCGGGGAAACACGCAGTAGCAGCATATGCGGACGACCTACTGTTCTTCGTAACTAAACCGGAAACATCCATGCCCACGATAATGAAAGAATTCGAACAATACGGGGAACTCTCAAACTTTAAAATCAATTTTTCCAAATCCACGATCCTCAATGTCTCCGTTTCGAAGTCCAGAGCGACGGCCCTCAAACGAGCGCTGCCATTCCAATGGTCTGCCACCTCCCTAAAATACCTCGGCGCGGTGCTAACAAACGACCTCGCCCAACTGTATGCAGCGAACTTCCAACCACTCCTGACCACTATACAGAAGGACTTGCAGGAATGGGACCAGGTGCGCCTCTCATGGTTTGGAAGAGTGGGAGTGCTCAAGATGAACATCCTACCGAGGATCCTCTACCTGTTTCAAGCTATCCCCGCGACCATACCGGAGGCATTTTTTACCTCCCTTAGATCGATGGCCCTCCGATTCACATGGCAGAGACAGAAGGCCAGGATTCAACACGACGTGCTCACACTACCGAAAGTCAAGGGAGGCCTAGCTCTGCCAGATTTTAAGAGATACCATAGAGCCACTCACATCCAAAGGATAGTGGAGTGGTCTAAACAAGGAGTGGAGAAACTCTGGAAAGATGTGTAGTCTTCCCTGGTGGAGAGTCCGATGGCAGTCCTCCCTTGGCTGGACCCCCAACAAAGTAGGCAGCTAGCTGCTCCACACCCCCTAATCAAAGCGACCGTACGGGTATGGCAAGCTCTGGCGGTACCACTCTCGCTCACCTCCACGCCATCCCCAATGATGCCTCTTATACATAATGAGGTCTTCCCGCCAGGAAGGGAACCAAGAACGTTGGTCCAACTGCTGGGACAAGACATACCGAGGCTTTTCCACGCAATAGACAACGGCCGCATCAAATCACTAGAGACCATGACGGGGAACTCCAACCACCCGTTCATGCTCCAATTCAGATACCGACAACTGAAAGGGCTCATACAAGAAACCACCCGAAACAATCACACTCTCAGACCCTTAACAACGTTTGAAGAGATATGCATGGACCCGGACCCGTTGCCGAGGGGCCTGTCAACGCTCTATGGAATGATCATGCAGTTGAGGAGGCTGCCACCCCCAAGCTTCATGGGGAAATGGGAAACAGTTTTAGGCACTACATTCACACCCAACCAATGGGACAAACGTTGCACCCTCTCACTACACTGCGCACCATCTAGCGGAACGCAAGAAACAGCATATAAAATACTGGCCCTTTGGTACCGCACCCCACTCCACACACACCTATACGACCCCACGAAGGACGACGTATGCTGGAGATGCAACACGCACAAGGGAACATACCTCCACATATGGTGGGAATGTCCAATCATTCAACCATACTGGTCAACCATCCACTCGATCATCAAAAGATTCACAGACTCCCCACCACCCATGAACCCCGCAACATTCCTCATCCATCACACCAAGACGAAAGCATCAACATATAAAAAATCCTTAACAATACGGATACTTAATGTAGCCAAAAGCCTAATCCCCCTCTACTGGAAAAAACAATGTGCGCCCCCGCTGGAGACATGGTACCAAAAAATGGAGGAGCTGAGAGCTCTGGAAGAGCTCTCCCTGTTGGCAGAGGGGAGGACCCAGACGTACATGACGATCTGGACACACTGGATACTGACCTCGACTAACGCTGACTTCCAGGACCTGCTGACGTGACTGCAGACACCTGAAGGGACAAACGACCACCTTGACTGAGGGAGTGACTACACAAACAAACAGGGAAAATCAACATCACAATAAATAAAACACCCCCCCCCCCTCTCCCCCCCCCACTCCCCCCCCACCGGTCCCCCCCTGGGGGAACCCGCGGACGGGAAGGCGACAAAGTAGAGAAGTTCATAAGACGTAGAGGCTCCAGACGGAGGGGCACCAGCTAAGCAAAGAAGGGAAAAGAGAGGGAAAGATAAGGGTAGCAAAGGGAGAAGGAAAAAAAACAAGAAGGGGATAGCCAAGAGTAAAAAGAGAGAATAAGAAAGGAGGGAAAGGAATGGGAAAGGAGTAAGGAAGTCAAGTATGAAGGAGACAAAGAGAATCAGACAGGAAAACAGGAAAAGGGACAGGGGTTCACAGCTAAGGATAAGACAAGGAGAAACAAACCTAACTTGGCACCCACGCTAAAGGCGGGAGTTAAAGACGGTACAAACCACCTCCACCCCAGCCAGATCAACAGGGGCATACCCCACTGCCACCAAAGATCTGAGAACTGAACGCGCAAAGCACACACAACACCCGGTTTCCCCCCCCATACGGTCGGTCAACACACACCACCTGCCTAGACACAAGACACCAACCACCTTTGTCACACTGGGTGATATACCATAGCCACAACAACCGTACGAGAGAGGGAAAACCCCATCCACACAAAGGTGTATAGGACCCAAGAGCCCAACTAGTATACGTCTTTGATCTGTTAGATGACGTGCATGTCACTATGTTGTTCACAATGATTATCTCATGTCTGAGACATGGATTGGGAAAGCCTTTTTCGGACCTGCGTGTCCACGACAATGTTTTTCCTTTTTCTGCATAAAATGAAAAATCTTTGAATAAAAGAAATTTACAAAAAAAAAAAAAAAAACCATTCTAAAACGATTTGACTACTTACATTGGAGGGAATCCAGGGAACTCCCGGCACCATAACTACTTCAGCACACTGTAGTCGATAGGATACTTGGAGTGTTCTTTTAATTAGTGTA